GAGAGAGAGAGAGAGGCGTAACAAAGGATTATGTCATACCTTATTAATTAAATGACATGTAGTTTGCAACCATTAATGAAACTTATGGAAAACTTGTGGGCAACAGCAACATAAGAACACCACATGCCATTTAATTCATAAGATACAAATCATGTCAGTTTCGTTGGCTTCTACTCAAAGAGACTGTTCTTTACTTGCCCTTTTCTGTCGTTTTAATCATTGAACAAGACTAATTGAACTCCTCGTATCATATCAATAATGACCAGTCGAGTTAGGAGAGAGTTGACCTACAACGACAAGAACACTTCAAAAGATATTGTGATACGAGTGGACATGTATCCGATACACACAAATTCTGATTAATGTGTGATATAACAAGACATACAACCAACATGGATTAAACAAAACTTGGAAGCTAAACCTTTCTTAATTATCATAGAAAAATAATAAAAATTAGAGGGCTCAGATAGTCCACTTCAAATCGTCCGTCCTAAATCCAATCAAAAGGGTACTATAACACAATTTAAATCGATCGAATAGACACGATAACTCGAAAATAAATTATTTCCTAGTCATTACCTTTTAATAATAGAATAATAACATGATCTTATATGATACTGAACCGACTCCGGTGCCTACCGTTCTACCCGGGTTGATCCCCGACCGGTTTAAGTGGGGCGGTTCGGTTTAGGAAGTGTCGGTACACCGGCCCATTACAGGCCGAAGTTTCGCGGCCCAGTTTGGGTAGTCACGTGCGTTGGCCAAGCTCAGCACGGGCCGGCGCGCGGCGCGCCTTCGTGTCCTTTAGCCCCTTCCATCGTCCGATGGACCCACCCGCGTGAGGGCGGTCGCTGACGCCCCCATTGCCCTTCCTCCGATCCGCTCCTCTCCCTTCTCCTCCGCCTCCTCCTCACGTCGACCTCCCTCTGTTCCTCCTTAGCTGCCGACGGAGGATTAGCTTCGACGGGTGAGAACGGAACGGGTTCTGAGTTCCGACCTCAAAGGCACCGTCTTTGATATTTACCATTATTCGATCGAAAATATATAAAAAAGGGCCGGCAGCTTTAGGCCGTGATCGAGTTACGGGCCGCAGTCAATTGATGGCGAAGGAATAGCGATTTGCCGGGTGAGTTCGGTCTCCGATCCCTCCCTTCCTCGGTCTCTCTGGTTCTGTTGTCTTTAATTGTAGAGGCGCCCCTTGATTTCGAGGTGTGTGGTCGAATCTTGGTGGATTGTTGTTGAGCTCGCTTCCTCATGGTTTTGTTGATGATTCCTTCCTTGTTGCCGTTGGATGCTTCGGTTAGGGTTTTTGTGTGGATGTTGGAAAAAGTCGATGACCTGGAAATTTCCCGTTGATTAGACCTGTGTTTCTGACGATGTACTGTAGCTGCAGGTTATTTCTTGTTCTTCTTCTTAATTTTCCTTTGTTTTATCTTTTTATCGTGTCATTTTGGTGCCTTGATGGAGTCGACGTTCTTAAAATTGTGGGAAAGACTACGGATTTTGGTGTCATATAGCACAATGAAACGGTTCAATCGAGATATTTTGGTTGGAAATGACATAAAGGGAATGATATTGAGGAAGGCCCGATCCGCCTACCTTAGTATGATCAAGTTGGTATTAATCCTCGAAGTGCATGCCATAGTTTCCAGCATTAGGTATTTAAAAGATTGATGAGCATTCGTGGATTACAATTGGGTTACCTGTATTCCAGAAGAAGGACGTGATGTATATTATCTGACTGTATTATATATTGGCCTTGCTCTTATGATCCCAAATTTCAGAGTTTTAAAGAAAATATTTTCTCCATGCATAGGAATTAATTATTTTAAGCCTTAGATTTCACTGTCTTTTGAGGTTGATTCAGCTACATTTTCATGATCTATGAACTACTTTATTTGTATGAACAACATGTGTCCCATTTTGCAGTTCTCATTTCAAACTTCAAAGGCTATTTACGATAGTTGAAAAGAAAATAGTTCCAAGATAAAGAAATATAATTCATCAAAGTATCAGATTCTCACTGATCTGAAGTCAAAGCTGGGAATTATCTGTTGCTGCCACAGATCTGTGCCTTGGACTCTGTGAAATATACTCCACCTGTCTTTCAAGAAGACGCATAGGAAAGTGGCTAAATGTTTTTTATTGCTACTTTCCTATGCTAGTTTCTTTTTCACTCGCTG